AGTCTGACAGGACAAGCAGGAAGTCTGACAGGACAAGCAGGAAGTCTTGACAGGACAAGCAGGAAGTCTGACAGGACAAGCAGGAAGTCTGACAGGGCAAACAGGAAGTCTGACAGGACAAACAGGAAGTCTGACAGGACAAACAGGAAGTCTTACAGGACAAACAGGAAGTCTGACAGGACAAGCAGGAAGTCTGACAGGACAAACAGGAAGTCTGACAGGACAAGCAGGAAGTCAGTGTGTGGGAACGACTCAGTGTTGTAAAGTTGATTATTTTTTCAGATGAGTAAATTCTGAGTCTGATTTATGACTCTGGACAAACGGGCTAAATGTATTAGTTCGTGGACGGGCTCCCAGATGTTGGGTCTAATGTCACCATCCATCCAGCCAGATGTTTTGATTTTTCATGATGTCAGTAATGAAAACAAGAGTGTTAACCCATAAATTATGTGAAGTTTAGAGCTTGTTGATGACCTTTCTGTTTATTCTTCATATTGATTACACCACAGCTGCAGTGTTTACATGCTTACATGTTATGGTCATATAATAATTATGCCCTTGCATGATGGTGTTGCTATTTTTTGTGTTTTGGGTTTAATTATGAACACAATAGAGCTTATTAGAAAGAAATAAAGTCTTCACAGGTCTGGAGGGTTTACCGAACATTCAAACAAAGTTTTACACGTGAAACAAGCAGACCATGAATGTCATAATGTTTAAATGTAAGACTACTTTACATGTTACTTTAAAATGTATACAAGAAATGCCACAATTCTCTAAAACATAGGCTGAAAACAAACTTGACAACATTGTGCTATTGAGCAAATAAATAACTAAAAAGTTGAGGTAAACCTTGATGTTAAACGGTTTAACAAACAAAATTCTACGTTGAGACAAACACTCAGTCACATCTAAAGTCGGTTTAGCGTCTCCAGTTAATCAAACACACATTTCTGTTTTGGGAGCTTGATGTGGTACCCAGTGAAAACTCATGCACGGAGAGAACATGCTAAACTTAAACAGTAACTGGGATTCAGACTTGTGGCTTTCTTGCTGTGAGTCCTCACTACTAACTGAACCACTGTGCAGCCCTGAAAAGATCAGTAAACTGAAAATCAAAAATGTTGCCATCTCCCGTTTCGTAGGATTTAGTGACATCTTGTGATGAAGGTGTCACAGTGCCCGTTTACCAACCTACAAAAATGTGTCATGTTTTCATTAATGTGAGAAGATGCACAGAGTAAGCTCCAAATGTCCAGTACGTGCACTAAGCTGGTAGTTATTAACAACAACTTTTTGAAAAAGAGGAGTAATTTAAAGATGCTGTAGCCTTGTAACTTTACTTTTGATATTGTTTGTAAAATCTGGTGTTTCTTTGTTTTAGCAACAACAGTTCAACTTTTACTGTCAAATAAAAATGCATCAGTATTTTACTGCTGGAACCCTAAATGTCCACAAGCTCCACACTTAAACTCTACAAGCCTTCTCTGACACGTCCATACATCCGCTCAATTAGAAAATTAGCAACAAGTAAACAAGCATCAACGCCTCTACTCGATACGGATCATCATCTGTGAGAGATTCACTGGATGTTTTTGTGAGAGAGCATGCACGCCTGCCTGACTCCATAAATGAATGAACTCCTGTCCTGTATTTACTTGACCCAGTATCGCTGTGCTCCTCTGCGTGTTTTCTCTCCAGCAGAGTTAATACCAGAGAGCCTCACTAACACAACTCAAGTCCAGGCAGTAAATCCTCCCTCACAGCATTAACTCCAGACACAGCTGTGTAGCACAAGCTTACAGTCATCGGGCAGCGTGGTGATCGAGGGGAAGACGAGGAGAGGAGAACTGTTACAGGACCGTAAGAGAAGCAGAGCGTTAATTAGACAACAGACTTAAGGAGCAGTGGTGGGAGGTGGTGTGGAGATGGAGCGGTGCAGCGCAGCCGTCTTCAAGAGTGCAAAGGTGGAAAAAAATTGGAGTGAGAGGGGAAACATCGTGGGACCAGAGGGGCCTTGGAAAAGGACTGATGGTAGCAGAAGTCTTCGAGGCAAGAAGGTAGAAGTGGGTCACGACTAATTAGGGGAGAGATAAGGTCCAGAAACAATTTAGTGCTGCAGATGGAGACTGGAGTAAAGTGATAGTGATGCTTCTAGTTCAGCGTGAATTTAATTTCAACGTAGTTTTGACAGCGTTTCCAGGAAGCAGAACTGAATGTTCGCATCATATCAATTTAATTCAATCCATTTTTTTTTATAAAGCTCCAAATCTCAACAAAGTTGTCTCAGGGACTTTACAGGAACATTCACATAAAAGACAGTAAAGTTCTGTATCTGAGGAATCCAGCAGACAAGATGAATCTTGGCTTCGTTGCAGTCTCCCATCCAGAGCAAGCACATCTCCAGGCCTAGTTATTTATTTTATTTTATTTAGGTCATGCAGCAAAAACTTGAAATTCAAAACGGCTGTCGTCATACACCTTCAATAAAATCCAACTATTTTACAATCCTGTTCTTTGTTCTTTCACTAATATTTATTTGTTTCTTCTCAGCTTCACTCTTTCAGCTACGCCTTTTTATTTTTTACCACATTATCTCTGTTTTTTTAACACTTACTGTAAAAGAAGGTGTCTCTTGTAAATGAGTCCTGGGGGCTCAATGGGACGAACCTGTTTAAATAAAGCTTGGATGAAAAGAAGGTAAATGTGGTTTAAAAGCAGGATTTGGTCTTCGTGGTCTTGGTGTTTTCTGTCCTGTACAGTTTCGTGTCTTTAACTCCTACACGTGTGTTTCCGTTCAGTTTCGGGGATGCCTCCCTGTCGTCCGCCTCCACCCTGGAGCACATCCCGTCCTCGGCTGTGGCTCGCCCTCGACCCCTCGTTCGGCAGCAGAGCCTCCAACAGCCCCTCACTCACCAGCCCCCACCGGGTCCCAATGACCCCCCGGTCACCTCGCAGAGTCTGGGCCAGCTGCACACAGGTCCGGGCAGTGGAGGCCACCGTGGGGGCCCGCGGGGGGTCCGGGGGAGTCCGGCTGGAGCCTCCCGGCATAGAGGAACGGGGACTGGTCGATCACGGTCAAATCCAGGCAGCTGGGACCACACGATGGAGCAGATCCGCCACAGAGGTCTGGACGTCAAGTCCTTCCTGTAAGTATCTGGAGGAGACACGTGCATGATGGTGATAAGTGCCTGATCTCAGTGAAGTCCCAGAGATCAAAGATAAAACTTTGACCTTTTGTTCGCTCTGTTAAAGGGCTGCATTGATTCTAGGAGGGTTTGTATTAAAGTAAAAACTCTTTATTCATTTTAAAAAGCCATGTTCTAAGTTTAGAAGTGCCTTTAAGATAAAATGTACTCTTTTAAAAGTACAAGACTTGCAGAAAGTGTTGAAGGTCTAAAAATGAACTAGTTATTGAGTATAAAAATAATCCTCAAACCCTCGGCACGTTTGCATCGCTGCGTTTCTGTATTAAGAGATGTAGCTGTGTGTTCTGCCTCACGTGCACGTCTTCATACGGACATTAAAATGCAGCGACCCAACAGTAACGTTACACCGTCTCATGTTATTTTATGCATGTTGGCTGTGGACAGTGTGGCCATTGCTGCAGCTGTGGCAGATGTTCAGATGCCCTTTTTAATGTCATGTTGTTGGTGCAACACACAGGTGTTGCTTTTTGTTCTTCATGAAATTATTAACAGCCAGTTTATGGCTGTACTAAGTATTGGGTAAATGAGGACAAAAGTGTGAATATTGTGCATCAAACAATGTGTTTGGCCTAGAAAACAGTTTTGCAAGTTACGTGCAACAAATAGGCTTTTTAACCGTCTTTCTCAGAATTTAGACACAACTGAAAGTTTATTTTTATGCAAGCCATTAAATACACAACAATCTAGAAATGCTTTGTGGACGTTAAGTGTATACATATCACAAAAGTTACTATTTATCAAATGTTTTACTTGTATTTGGATCCACGTAACAGGCATTTCTGTTTTTTAACATGCCACAATAAAAAACAAGAGACTTAAGAATCATGATGTTGATTACTCAGGAACCTTTAGCTGTAAACAGTTTTGTTTATCTTTATAAAATATGTGCAGTTAATTTTTCACTGTAGATATTTGTAGGTTTTAGCTCAGATTACTCCTATTTCAGGCACTCAAGGTAGTTTTGAAAATCAACACGGGAAGCATCTTTGTAACATTTACCTGTAGCTGCTGTGACAGACGTAGTTTAGATTTATTTATTACAATTTGTTCTGAACTGTCGTGTTTATGTAGCTGCACGCTCAATGTCAGTGTGTTCGACTTACAATGAACTTTTCAAATAATTACAGATATATGAATAACATGATTTGTAGTACAGCAAACATTTCCTGGCTTGTTTCTTTCTAAAAAGAAACAATTTTATTATAAAAGCTAATGTTCTTTTTTTTTTTTACCACATCTAAACCAAACAAACGATGGAATAAAAAGGTTTCTCAACTCAACAGCTGCTTTTGAATAAATTACCATTTTCTCCACTTCATCCAATTCCATGTTCTCGACCGTAATACAGCGCGCTCATTAGGTTGATATAAATTTTCAGAGCATCATTTTTGATGCCAGAGAGAAACGTTTCGAGAAAACTGTCGTCCGATTGTGAATGGAAATGTGCGTCTGCAAGCGTGTCTTGTGTAATGGAAGCAGAAGTGGAGTTGAGGGGGGGCTCACAGGGGCTCAGGTAATTAAAACTCTGCGGTGGCTCGGACACGGTGTGGATCAGATACGCTCTGAGTTTCTCGAGCCCCTGGATGTTGTTGGATTGTCTTGTTCAGCACGCGTGTGCACCACTACAGGAATGTTTGGCCCTTCTGGACTGACAGATTGAGTGGAGAGGCCTGTTTTTTTCAACCTGGCTGGGAGAATCACAGTTTGGACCCTCTCTGGGACGTCTGTGCCAGGATGATGGACATTAGAGTCCAGCTGGTAAAACTGGCTCGCTAAAGACGTCTGTGTTGGGCTGCTTCTAAAAACATCTAGTGTTAATAGAAGATTTTGCCGCCCTACATTTTGGTCTTGCCACAAAATATTGAACCAGGTTTTTTTTCTGTTTATTTATTTATTTATTTATTTGTTTTGTTTTGTTTGTCTTGACCTGTGCACAAATATTTGAGGTTGCAAAGAAAACCAGTCTCCATGTGTTGGAAAATGGAGACTGTAAATAAATAATTTAATCTGGAATCACTCTTTAGAGACAAGATGCTATAACTCCTTCTGTAGTTATTCTTAAAGAGCTCAGACTGGAGTCGAGGCTTCTCTTCAGTAAAATAAGTTTCTACGGTGGTTTGGGCACCTTGTAAAAACTTCTTGTAGACGTCTTCAAAAGAGAAGCGTTTTGGACATATCCCACCTGGAGGAGACCTTGGGACAGAACTAGAACTTGAAATCTTATCTAGAAGAAGTGATGATGTGGAGGTCTAAGAATTTATGTTCTGACCGCTGCTTTCATGACCATGATCAGTAAAAACATAATTCATGGATGGATGGATGAATGGATGGACAGTTGGATGGATGGTTGGATGGATGGATGGATGGATGGATGGATGGATGGATGGACAGATGAATGGATGGACAGATGGATGGACAGATGGATGGATGGACAGATGGATG